CACCAAAACCGTTTAACCAATCGATGAAAATTGCTTTGTGACCGGTATTATCCTCCTCCCCCAGATTGAAAGCCCCAAAAGTTAATACCCCCCCCAAAATCTAATTAATTCCCCAAGAGAGATTCATCGAATGAAAAATTCCCCTATTTACCCAACAGTTTAAGTGAAAAGCGTCAGAGCATAATGCAGAAACGAGCCATCCATATACCTAACGCGCAAATATTTGTATGTGAAGTTGAAAGCTCGGAGAATTCACGTTTGATACGTAAATATAATGCAGAGCAAATGCTAACGAGTAGAATAGCTACAGATATATATTCGCAGATACTCTGGACCGCTATTAGTGTCAGCTAGCCGCATTGTCGAATCTAGTATCGCAACCGCAACTCTAGCTTTTCCTACGCTATTCTCTAAATCCCTCACCAGAACATACCCCCACCGTATCCCATCCACTCACTGCCATTTTCCCCAATTGACGAGTGCAATATATCGTCGATCGGACTATTGGAATCGGATAGTCCGACAAAATCGGCTTTCAGTTCTAGTTCCACGGTGGAAAACTCTCTCGTCAATCTGTACTCAAATGTGTCCTCACTTCTGCTTCTACCGTTCCATTGTGATAATGGCAATTTCCACGGTATCGGTACACTAGGATAATGTCGACGAGTGTCTCCACTCTCGATAAAAAAAAAAAATTCAATTGAAATTACCGATACAGAACTCATAAAAGTGAAAATAAAAATTCGAACGATCGATCCGCATTTTCTCGAAAATCCATTTTCTCTGGGAAAATTCTCGAACTCTCTGACTGAATTCCAGTCACGAATTTCCATGGAATTAAATATTCCCTGATTATTTTCTCATTTTTTTTTCCTCGATTTAAAAATTCCTCTCGTACCAAAAAAATGGCAGACGTCAGAGGATTTTTTTTTTCATGCAAACCACGAGGTCCAAGGATAATTGGATCGCTTGAGTCGAACGGCATCTCCACAATGACATGGTGAAAAAAAAATTCTTTTGTTGAATGTGATGTGGGCACAGTTGGGACTTTAATCATTCCACCTCTGTAGTCCCTACCTCGCAGGACGTTACAAGTGGCTCATTTCAAACCTCAACGTTTCATACCCGTTTCTTTTTTTTTTTCCACCCATCTACCCCTCATCTACCCCTCATCTACCCCATATCCACCCCCTCCAATCTGCCCACCCCTCCGCACCTAGACTGTCTCTTTTGTTGGCGTGCGCGTCCTCTCTGAGGTTTTAATTTTTTTTTTTACAGCTCCATGTCTCTTTCCTTTCTCTATTTCAAAGCTGCGAGTTTATTCTGTAAATCCAATTTGTTGTTTCTAGTCTTTACAGTGGAGATAGAATATTTCCGTGGTTCACCGATTTCTTTGCTCCACTGACTCCACCGGACTCCAACGTATTTTGCTTTTCAATTTCTGAATCGAGTCGATTGAAAAAAATATTGCACAGTGCAGGTTGAAACATTTTTTGATTTTTCACGATAGAATTGAATATTTCCCTTTGAATACACACACTCAGTATTTGACGGGATAATTCGGTGGAAATTTTTTGAAATTGATTGATCTGTTCGGGATTTTTCCTCAGATTTTTATATATTTTTTTTTCTCGATGATTGCAATTCTCGAATTTCTCCAGTGGTTCTTGAGCACCAGCTCACAAAGCCCTCTTTGAGCGATATATCAAATGGACAGTAGTCCTCGGTACCCTCATGCCTCGGAAAACGATGTAACTCGTTCTCACATGGGAAATCCCAGAAACCATTATATCGCGTAAGCTGACCAGGTTATCCCCGGCGTTGTTCAATAAAAAAAAAAAATGGAATCGTTGAAAAAATAAAATAAGCGAGAGAAGGGATTGCAAAGGAACGAGCCCAAGTCCAAACAGGAAATCACAAAGTGGAGGCGCATGAAAAATGTACGGGAGATGAAATATCGGACAAACAAAAATGGACCTCGATATTTCACGTTTTGCCCACGTTTTTTTTCTCTCTCTTATCAATACCTCGGGATAATACACGTACCTGGGCTTTACGGATTACCACTCGGGGTGCACTCAAAGACCCAAATGCATCCACCATGATCACTGAAAAATTACGGGGATGAAAGAAATGAGAGAGCGAGCAGAAAAATAAATTCTCGTTTCACTATTCAAATGATGAGTTTATCAAACCGCTGGCCGAATTTACGGTTCAAAACACTTTTTGTGAGTTTATTCGGTACAAAGAGAACATTTTTTTTTTGTGGATTTTCAGGGAATGATTTGTATGAATAAATTTTTTTCCCACTGACGGCTAGAGAAAATTCGAAAATTCATAATCGAAATTCTGAATTTCAGTGGTAAACGTCGGGTTTTTGTCAAAGAAATAATTCAATGACAATTTTTGTCGGGATTAATTCGAAACATTGCGTATACCGGGGCATTTTATTTGGCGAAAGCAATTTATTTATTTTTTTTTTTTGGGGGGGATGTGTTTTGCATTGATGGACTTTAATGGTCTGAATCTAGAAACTTGAGAATATAAAAGGCTTTTTCGGAGGGTTTGAGAGTAGATGTTGCAGAGCATCCGCCGGATGATGAGTCTCGTGTTATCATTCAGTCCATTATTACGGATATGGGCGAAGGTTCGGATGGGAGACCAAGGGCCCGACGATATGCACGTTGATTTATGTTTAGGATGTTACGTACGAGGGGTGACTCTATCGTCTTTTACCGTGTCTTCCTGTTGACATGAATATCCCGCGTATCTTACCGCCCTCGGAGGATTTCCGGTGTGTCTCAGCTTCCTTAATGGCTGCTGATCCTTGCTGATCGTAATGAAGGTCATTTGAATTCGTTACTTGAAATTTTTCCGATATTTTCTCTTCCGGGTGTCAGTTCGCGCGTCATTAATTCACGAATTATGAAAAATTATGTGCAATTCCTTTAAAGTCCGAAAAAAAAAAATCATATCACGGGGTTAATATATTTCATTCGTATTTTCTAATCATATATTCTCAATTGAGAATAATTATTGTCAAAGACGTCTTTTGGATTTTTCCATAAAATTGAAAATCAGCTTATCGATATTTTTTGAATGGCAAATTAATGCATTCCGTTCACTCCCTGGACTTGTTTGATTGCTCTAGAATTAACATCGAAAGACAGTCATCCGAATAGTCGGAATGAACGAAACGTCAGTTGAAGTGATTACTGCCTCCCCTTTCTCGATTAAAAGCAAACGGTAATACAATCATTCCCATGCATCTCTCTCTCAAAAAAAAAAATCCACCTCTCGCTCTACGAAAATTCGTAATCGTTCCTCAGTGCTCGTCTCTTCAATCACCCCAACATCACTTTTTATTCCTCTTTTTAATCCAATGTAATCTCCTCTACATCTGCCTTTTTTCCCTCTTTTTCTGGCCCATCGACGGGAAAAAAAAGAAGTGAGGGACAGGGACAATCTAAAATCGAGAACAAACGAATTTTTAATCGAGACGAGCTTTGTGTCACCTCCTCCCGCCCTCACCTCTCACCGAAGATTGCTTTCGGCATCATCATCGATATCACACTCTCCAACTAAAATAAAGGGAAAAGCGGGGGAAAAACAATATGAGAAAATATTTTACGGAGATATGGAAATGCACCGGTGGTCGATGGAGAATGTCGATTGAGTGGTTTTCGCAATTCCCATTATAATCCCCGCCATTTTATCATTAATATCACAATTTTTTTTTTTTAATCTCTAAAAATGGAAATGGTCGATCTCACCCAATCGAGAAAATCGTCTCAACCCGAGGCTTTTTTCTCGCAAGACTTTAAAAAATTTCTGCAATTACCTGATTACTTTGAAGTAGAAAAAATTTTTTTTTCAATCAATGCTTTTCAATTTATCCGAACAAGATCGAATGATTCATTAATAAAATTGGAAGATACCCGCGTCGATGGGCAATTGACAGACGAAGCGTTGGAGTCATCCCCGTCGGGTGGCAAGTTCCGCTGATGGAGCTTTTGCAGGGGGTGGGGTGGGTGGATGGGTGATACACACATAGAACTGGAGATCGGTTTTGACCAGGCAATTCTGCATGAGACCATACGGGTACTCGACCGCAAATCGAGTTCCGGTCGTGGGGTGGAATAAAATCGGTTTCACCACTGGATCCCCCACCCCTTAGCCACTCCCCCTGGGCCTCTTACACCCCCCTTTCAACCGTGCCAAACCCACCCCATGCACACCCTTATCTCCTTTTTCGGGATATTATGGTGTTATCAGCTGGGGACATCCACTGAAATAGTGCAGACCTCATTTTATTATTTATAAGTCCCCATCCTGAATTTACCACGAGCTCTTCAACCACTAATTATTCCAATTGCTGGGTAAAAATGAAAAAATTAAAATTTTTAAAATAATACGGAAGAACAAAAATAGAGACCTGTCGGAAAATTATATGGGACACCGGAAAGTTATTCTTGTGAGTTGCATTAAATCGAATTAGCAGAATGTCATTATAAATTGAGATAATTTTCAATGAGGATCATTATTGCAATCTCGATATTGATAATTCAATTGAATTCTAGATTTTCATGGTGAGTGATGGTCGATGATTTAAACGCCTTGAATAATTAATCTCAAAATGAAAATAGAACATTCGATTTATTCGATATTCAGGAGAATAATCCCCTGAATTTTTTGCAATAATAGCATCTCATTGAATAATTATTCAGTAATTTCATTTTTATGACATCATTTCATTATTTATTTTTACTTTGTGGAATAATTGAATTGAAATAATTAAATAATTGAATGCTCGAATATGGAGCTCCAAGACTATTTACACTGAAAATAAGAGACTTTTTTTATTTGTCTCTGGACGAAATTGACTCCGAAGTAATTCTCAATCAATGATAATGGATTAATCAATCCGCGTCACGTGAATGAAACGACGTGATTCGGTTTTACGAGAAATACCACTCATTCGTTGGGGTTTTATGCTGCAGTGCCACCGGATATAATCGACGATGAAACCAGCGCTGATATGATCATACGTGAGGGCAGTAATGTTACTCTCAAGTGTTCAGCAACTGGGTCACCACGTCCCAACATCACCTGGAGACGAGAGGACAACGACGGAATATTAGTCGCCACTGAAAAAAAAGGTTTGTCCCTCAATCATCTTATCGTTGACAGCTGACTTGCTATTTTCAGGGTAGTCCCCTAGAATTTGCTGTGCGCGCGAAAAAAAAAATAATGAAATCTCTATGAAATCGCAGATTACAAAATGACAGAATGAAAATAAATTTCATTAGGAAATTTCTCCCACCGAAAATATGGAATACACGCCGGAATAACTGAGGGGCATGAACTGTTGTCGATAAAACATAAACGTTTGAATACAAGTGTATAACAATTTTGTTTAGAAGTCAAAAGGTCGGGGGGAAATCAGACCACTGGCACTCGGGGAGGCAACGACAAACTTCATATTTGCATTGAAATTGGCAAACAGAATGGGTGGGGAGCTTCAGAAGTACCTGATTTGTATGTCTACCTCTGCTCTTGCTCTTGCCATTGCAAAATCGTTGCTATCCTTAGGAGTTACATTGAGTTTCGCTTCGGTTACACGTTCAATTCCAATTTCCGCTGGATGATAACATTTCTTAACAAAACATCATATTCTCTCCTAAATTCATTAGATACTCACCCCAAAAAATTCCACTTTATTCAAATTTTGTATTTCCCACAATCGACAAAGTATCCCCAATCATTGAAATTTTTTTTCTAAAATACCGCGGTTAATTCTTGATTAATTGTTCAATTAATCACCGAACAAATTGCTCTTCAACCGGTAAAATTCTCCCCCATTTCAGCGGTATTTTTCGCCCCGGAAAATTAGCATAAAGATAACTCCATCTCCCCGGTCTTTTTTTTTCTTTTTCGTTTTTTCAATTTTCCCCCATTACCCTTATCTCGCACGTGAAGGTGACAATGTTCATCGCGTTTTCGTTACGCCATTCACTCTGACGGTGCAACGGGGGGAGGGGGTGAAAAGCGGGGTTAGAAGCTTTCACAAATAAAAGGGGATAAAAATAAAAGAGCAGTGAGGGAAAAAAAAATGAGAAAGACGAGGTGAGCGCTTAACGACGAAATTAAGTCGGAGACGTTAATTTTATAGTCTACCCAACGTTGTACATCGCGTGTGACGCCCTGACGGAATAACTAAAGCCTCGCAAAGTCTTATCGTATCACAAATACGTAGCATCGGGTGTACAGAGACTACCCTCAGGGCTTCATAAAGAAATGAAATCCGTTCTACTATGTTTAAAATTTCATTGATTCTGAAATTTTTTTCTCGTTGCACTGTTTAAAAAAAAAACACACTTCAATTAATTTAAATTTACAGCTCAGTATAACAATTCGATGTCAAATTACATCGAATTAGAAATGAAATCGGAAATTTACAGTTGTTTCATTTTTTTCACGAAATCCTGAATTTTCAATGACGAGATTCTAAAATTTCTATCGAATTCCAAAGTGATTTAAAAAATTCCTTTTCCCTTGCTTAGGAAAATTATTTACTGATCCAAATTGAGACTCAGGGAATTTTTTAAGGGGAAAGGGAGGGGGATGTCAGATGTCCGGTTGCGGCGGTCAGTAATCACTCGCAAGGCACTTAATTATACCTCTGAGCAACCCTCACTCTATGAACTGTAGGGTAAACCACAGGAGCCTCTCGTTGCCCTCACGTCAACCACTTCCCCTCGGTGGAGATCTCCACAACCTTCCGCCACTTCAGGAAGAGTTTGTGGCCCATTGAAAATTAGATTAATTCAAAATGCCCGAACTTCCGAGAGAATTATTTCAAAATTTTTGACATTTTTCATTCGAAATTTCTAGTCAATCCATAATTCTATGGTTCTAACAAAATGTCAACAAACGTAAATTTTCTTTATAACTTGATCATTTAGCAGTAATACCCCGGAGAAATCCGAAAAAACTACAACTTCCTTGGAAAAACTATTAATACCCAAACAGAGTTGTCAGTCCTGAAAACACACGAATTCCCAGTTTGCCGGCAAATATTCACCGGATTTAATTGTGGTCAACGTTGATGTGGTGCCTTGACTCTCGAATAAGTAAACTAAATTTACTCCACAAACTACAGCAGCTGAATGCAAAAGGGGAAGATACGAAGGATAAATTGAAAACCGGAAATGGCATCACGAGCTTTGCCCATCTGACCGCTCTAAACAAATAGTCATTTTCTAGTCAGTCCCACTGCAGGGGTAAAAAATCGTTGGAAAAATATTCCCCGTCACTGATTTCATAGCAGTGGGGATGTGGTGACACTCGCGGTTTTAACCCTCTCACTTTCCATTTATTTATTTATTTTTCATTCTCTATCCGGTCTCCCTCCGTGAAAAGAGAGAAAAAAAATTATTTGAATCACAGCAGAACCTTTCCTCAATTTCTGTTTTGGCGGATCTTTCCGTTTCCTCAGTCTTATACCCCCGGGCTCCAAGATGTAAACAATATTGTATCATCCTATGACGAATTGAATTCCGAGAAAAAAAATCGAAGGCCTTCTCGAATTAAAATGAAAGTCTTTTTCGATATCAATTCAGTTTCTTACCTCTCAGTCGACACCGAGAGATTGTAATGAGAATGTCATTATAATTAAAATGCTCCAATTTCTGGATATATTTACAGCAATGAGTATCGAGGGCCAGAACTTCACTATCAACAAGGTAAATCGCTTGCACATGGGGTCATACTTGTGTATTGCATCGAACGGAGTGCCTCCCACCGTCAGCAAGAGGATTGCATTGATTGTTCACTGTGAGTATTATTAAAAATTTTTCAGAGGTCCTAATTACCAGTTGTAATGAATTAATATGAATTACTATTATTTCCCGTTATGCTTCAGTTCCTCCGATGATTGCAGTCCAGGATCAATTGGTCAGTGCGAGAATCGGTCAATCAAAGGTCCTTACGTGCACATCGGAGGCCTTTCCGAGATCAATAAATTACTGGACAAAGGACAAGACTGAGATAATAGCACAAGGTGAGTAAATTCATATCAAATCAAATAATTCAAGATTGTTGGGGTGTGTCAGGCTATCATATCATGTAATTCACAACGATCCGACATTGGTCTACTGGATTGCAGCTGAATAATGGATGATCCGGTTCATCACATTGGTGATACAATGTGAATTTCATCGGAGTGTATTTTCATGATCACTGAGGGGGGATGCATAAACAACAGGTACATATCGGTGGATATTCTTCTGGTGGGGGGGGATCAATGGCAGTCTGGGTTATTTAATAGCCACGGGTCTCGATTATTGCTACTGCAGATGGGACAATAACTAATATAACAATCGTATTAATCATGAGTCTGAAATGGAATGCGGCTGAATTTATATTATCCAACTTGTTGGGGCATGTCCAGAATCTGTTGGTTCAGTTGTTCTAGGGTGTGTCGATGGGACAAATTGAGGAATAGTTATTGCGGTATTCATTAGGATTCGAATCCATTCTCGGTAGCAGTCCAGTGGGTCTGGTGTTTTTTTATTTTTTTTTTGTCTCAATAAGGCGAACGTCTAGGTGTTCTCACTTCGGTAATTCTTCTCTTTAACGTATCATCGTTATTTCTACACTATCAGAAAATGAGGATGAGGATTAAAGATCATTAGGGGCTCTACACCGGAGTATTTTAACTATTGGCCGAGTGTATCCCGTGTAGAATAGAGAAAAAAAAATGTGTATCGATTGAAAAGAGTCTCGGTGTAGCTTTTCGCGTACCTTTTTTTTTCCTCCTCATTTTCCAACGAATTTTCTATACAGACTCAATCACCCTGGGCTGCTTCCTGTGTCGCTTTATTCCGGTCGATCGAAGCGATTTTTATTTGGTAAAAGCCGTGAGGTTCACCTTTAAGACATCAGTTACTATTTTCGGGGGCAGAATAACGGTGGATTTATAGGATAGGTTCGAGGGCCGGAGGCTGATGGCTTGAAAATTTCATGTTTCGAGGGAGGTGAAATGAGGGATGTCTGGGGTGAGGCATCGAGTATCAAGATTTGTGGGGAATTCACCAGTTTTTCCAGTAAATGTCTTCATTTTTCGATCGCGTGGGCTAAATAGAGACGTAATATTTCTTTTGAATGATCAAACATTATAAAAATAAATTAAATAAATCTGGGAAATATGTATTTCACCTCATAGGCATTGAATTTGGGAATAAATAGACTTTCAATTCTATTCTGGCGACGGCCTGCAATGAATCTTGCAAATTTTCTATGGCCTTCAGGGTTTCATCGCAACTGGAATTTTCAGAACGTCTGTTATTCCAACGAAAAGGTGTCTAGAATGTCTGAATGGGTGTCGATCTAAATAGAAATCACGTTAACTTAGGTTCTGCGTGTCGAATACTCAAGTAACCCGGTGGGTGGGAAATGGGAGGATTTGGAGCTATCATCTAACGTGATTGAACTATTGTGATGTCAAAGCTCTTAGGAAAGGAATTTTCGAAGGCCAGTGTCATTTGTGCATTTTTTTCGGCAATTCGATTTCAATTGTAACTTCGTTTTGTAATTCTTGTGTTAGTTTATTAACTAACGGTTCTTGGGAGGACGTTCAGACAATTTGTATGCGGAGGTGGAAGTGAGGACGTGCTCTCTTTGGACAGAGAAATCCAGATTTCATTATTGTCATTCAATTTTTAAGGAGTTACTGAGTTACTATATAGAGTTTCACGATTTTTAGGTGGGGGGGAAGTCCTCGCATTTATGATTAATCAGTTTTGAGTGATTCCCGATGTAATTGAGTTTGGAGAGAGTGTTCTATTTTCAATTAGTCTCATTAATTCAATTATAATTCTCTCTCTGAAAATTAAAAATAGTTTATCAAGGATATTACCCCATCAAACATTTGAGATTTCTTTATTTAAAAATTGAACTCAATTATTATCAATTAAATTGGAAATCATCTATAACATCGAATATTTCAATAATCGGATTTTTGTTAATGGAATTAAAATTCTGCTTGAGATTCGCGTCGATGTTCTGGAATTTGAGAGAACGTGATGACATTATTCCGCCGTTCTACATTCTCAAATTGAAAATAACTTCTGTAGAAGGTTGTAAGAAGGATATTCAAATTTCAGACGGCAGGTACGAGCCAACCTTCGTCGAGGATGGCTACGTAGTTCACATGAATCTAACAATTCGCTCAGTGGATAAATCTGATTTTGGTGCGTACAAGTGCGTGTCAAGAAATTCACTCGGTGACACCGATGGCACAATTTCCCTCTACGGTAAATATCTCAAACTTTAATTACCCATCGATTACACATAAAAATCCAATCAGTACTTCTACAATCATATTTCTCCATTTGTTTTTCAGAAAATGAGAATCCAGTGTACGAAACCAGTGATAATCCCAGACAAAAAGGTAAGATTATTATTATTTTCTCGTTCAGCATGAAGAGAATAATTCTCGTAATTAAGTCCAATCAGAGTTATTGAGAATAATTCCACGTGGGCTTCAATCAACTCTTTTCTCTATCGCGAAAGCCAGAAATTAACAAGCTAACGAAAATACGAGCCCCGAAGTGGCCCCGAGCAATCGCGATTGAATAGTCAATAAAAAAAAAATCGATGCTATTCTGAATCCACTCAGCGAAAACTGGATTTTTTCCGGGAAAGAAATGGCTATAACACGAGAGTAGCAATACATGAAAGAGTTTTCGGTTGATACGAGTGCAATTGAGTCGAGTGGATCATCATTCTGTTGCCCTTTGCTATCCGAAGAATTAATTATTCCAAGACAATAGGCCAACGCGAATGAGCTGTAACGGCTCGGTGATTAATTAGAACCGCTCGCGGGTATCATTGCTAATTAGCAATTACGATTTCACTGGAATTGAGTCATTGATTCCCCGGAGAAAAGTCCAATCAGCAGTTTTATTTTTTTTTCTCCACTTCACCATTCGATTTCTCCAAATTACTCCACAAGCGGCTGACATTCGCGTTAAATAGTTCTTTTAATTTTCATATTTGTTAATGATTAAATTCGAACGTGAGTCAACAAATTATTATGTGCGCGTCAGCGTTAAAGCTGTCTGTCAAAATATTTACCACAGGCCTCAGCTGATCGGAATTATCGCGAAAAAAAAAAATTCCATTTGTCCACGCGTATTTTGTCCGTTTGTCCTTTACTCATTAGCCGTCCGCGTAATTAGCAGTACGAATCAACGAATTTACACTGGCCTGGGGGTTACGAATGCCCATGACAACGAACATTCGGAAAGTTGAATTCAGAGTAGTGTTTATACATGATAAATTGTTAATGCAGTTGAGTGTATTGAAAGAATATCAAACGCGGTTGAGGTATCAACGGATAGTTCTTTCGGATAGATCAAAGGAGGCCACAAACGTTTTAACCGCTCAATGGTGAATTCAACTTTATGAATAAGCAAATCCCTCGTAATCCGATTTGAGTTAAGCTATGAAGTATATTTGACATGGACGAAATATTTCTTTGATAATGCAAGGGCTCCATCAGCGTTTTATGAACTACTCTTTCTCTCGGTATTTTCATTTTTTTTTGAGTTTTGTTTTTCGGTTGTGAGTGTCTTTAACAGATTGTTTGTCCCGCGCTCTTTCAATTTCTGGGTATTGAAATACGAATTTTAGAGAGCATATAGAATTTTTAAGAGGATGCTTGAAGCGAAATAATTTTTTTTATATCATGTAAAGATTTATGGAAAATAGAAGGTTTAATTAAATATTCAAAGAGGATAAGTTGAAGTAGAAGTTGGAATTCAATTTGAAATTTAATATTTTCCGTTTCATATTGCTTGGTATTTTCTCTTCGAGCCTTTGAACTCTTTGAATGTCAAGGGAATTTATCGCATTTGTGATAGATATAGAAATTATAGGGACTAATTGTAGGGATAGGGCGATTTTTACTTCATAAAACCGTATCCAAATTTCAAAAGCTCTTTCAACTCCACCAATTATTTCTCAAACTTCTCGTTCCATTTACGACCACTCGTCAGTAGCAAAAATATTCAATTATTGATATGAATAGAGGAATTTTTTCTCAAAAAGTATCACTCAGTTCGCAGATAATAATTAATAATTAATTAAATAACAAATTTATATCCCTTTCATATTTTTCCATTTTTATTCCAAATTGCGTCCCCAATATTCGGTTTTTTTTCCGTTTCTAACTCTCTCTAAAAACTCGTAAAAAATGTCTACTTCCCAAAAACATTGTGACATTCAATGGAATATTTCAACGCATTAATTACGTCAAAGCTCACTCATTGTTCCCGAGAAAGCCCAACGAATTCCGTTTGATTTATAGACATTGACTAGTTGAAAAACCGTTGAAACAAATGAAACAAATGAGAACAATGTGCAATTTTTTTTTTCGTATTATTTTTATCCGATGATGTATTCGTATTTCCGGCGATTGCGGCTGGGAATTTTAGTAAAAAGCATTCATGCAGGCTCTCAATGTTTCCCGGGTACATAGGTATTCCCCAATCCCCTTCTGAAAACATATATCCAACGAAATTATTAACGCCGGACGAAATTCCTGGGGTGACGGCTATTAATCTTTACTGGAAAACTCGCGCTTTCGACCTCTAGAGGCGATTGGTGAATATCTATGTGACACGATTAAATCTCAGGTTCATTGGACGAGGAATTCCAGTAATACCGCAAGATACCTTAAGAAAAATAGATTTTTCTGTGACCCAGACAATTTCCACTTTTTTCTCATTGCAAAAATTCATTAGGAGTATTATTTATAATTTCATCGGACTGCGATGCGCTTTTTATATCAGTAATTATACTAATCGCTAGAATTTGAATTGACCGATGGGGCGACTTGATTATTTTTTTTTAGGTAAAAATAAGGTATTAATTGCATGGAATAACTCCACTGAAGTTTTCCACGATGAATTTTCGGTTCTGGATTTAGAGATAACTCAGTCGGAAGTTGGCTAATCCCGTTTCATCGGTTTAATGCTCGAGTCAAATTGGTGGATCTCTTGTCGTTAATTAATCCCCTATTTCATTACTTACGAAGTTGAGATACGAAGAAAATTTTACAGGACGGATGAGAAATCTCAGGAGTATTTCTCTGTAAATAAATTTCTATTCTCCATATTGCAAGGGCTTTCATTCGTGACTCTAGAAAATCATTTGATTATTTGGTGAATTGAAAATTTGGTGAAATTTGATAACTGTCCTCCAGTACTCGTATTATAGATCGTGTCCGGACAGCTCATGGCATTCAGAGATATGTCCAAACTATGATAATGCGCTATCGGATGCAGTATCGGAGTTCCGGATCGACGCGTGTCGGTGTCCGTTGGAACAGAAATAGATAGATGTGATTGTAAATTGACGTGAGTGAATATGTGAAAGGCTCTGAGAGAAGTGCAAGTAGGGTCGATAGGCATCGACAACTCGGAGAATTGCGAATTGAGGGAGACGAGCATTTCGAATTTGTCACTGGGAATCCGAGCGGAATGAGACATGCATTATTCCTGCCACGTGTGATAGTGGGGGCTAGAGGGGTTTTAAGCTTTGTCGAAGCATACTGTGTACTTTACAAAGGGACAAGGTAAATTACGAATTGCTCTCTGGACGTATTCGAGTAGACCATGGCATCGAGCCTTCAAATCTTCAATTTGCGCTTTCTCAGGGAAATTCTGGGAATTTTACTCGAGGGCCACTCGGAGCAAATTTTTTTTTGTCAGAAAAATCATCTCGAATGTGGAGATCAAATCAATACAATTTCAAAAATAATAATCAAATTAAATAATTCACTGGTGAAGCAGATATTAATGGGGAAAAATGAGGGCATTATTGGCTATTTTTTTTTCTCTCTCTCTCTCTCTGAATTGTGGAGTGTCGGGGAAATTTAGTAATGAGAAAGAACAGCATTGGAGTTGATAAGGCTTGTTGGTAGTTAATACAAGGGATACTTTTTTAAGTTCATTCCATGCTCAATCTCGGTGTAGCTCTTTCTTCTCGGTACTTTAATGGCTAATCTCAAACGAGCCCGGAGGAATCCGGAAAACTTTCACCACCTAAACCACTCTGTTTTATGACTAATCGATTGGCCCTATCCGCAGCTGTTGAACTTTTATTTTTTTTGTGGGAAAAGTGGGATGTTAACAACGCGATACGGAGTCCGTTAAAAAAGTGGAAATTACTGGGTGACTTTTTTATTTAGTGCTGGAATTTTATTCATTCGAATTGTCAGACAATGATTATCTTTTGTGTATGGAAAGTCAGAATATCTTCTAATTATAATTATAACCGATTTTAATCGGATAATCAGTCTTGAGACATTTGAATTATTCCCCGGTATGAACGTCGAAGTGAAGTCTTTCCATTAATAATCTGACATTTGGGTTAAGATGGGGATAAATGCAGGCGGTTTAAAATTCTGGAGAATGTCAGGAGTTCAATGGGCCGTTTAGTCATACATAAATTTATGATACTGCTTTTATCGGGATATGTCAGTGCTACGAGGGTTTTTTCTCCGTCGTTTTCACGTTGTACCACTCAAGTTATATCAAATGACATTTAAACACTGAATTTGAAGCCAAATCCACGCCATCATCAATTTTTCTCGATAATAAAAACCGAGGAATAGCCCGATCTCCATTTTTGGCATTTACACATTTCCACGGATATGAAAAGTTTAATCCATCGTAAATATTCCAGGAAAACTGAGGAAAAATCCCAACAACTTACTGGAGGGTAATCAGAATATGCTAAAAGAACAAGGTACGATATTTTAGAATTATGCCTGAGTATTATAAAAGAGTATTAAGTTTATGACTTCACCAGAGTTGATCTCTCGGTATTATTCATTTGCATATTTTATGGTATGGACTCAGACTTTCCATTCAAAAATTAACTTTCCCATTACTGCGCCTCTGGTTTACCTCAATGATTCACATTTATCTGATTATATTTTAAAATACAATATTTTGCCACCCTTTACCTCTAACCCTTTTAAAATCACCCTTTCATTTGCAATATTTTTAAAAATAATTTATTGATATCGGAATATCTCGACTTGTAACATTTTTTTACCCTCGTATTATTATTATTATTATTAAATAAAATTTAGAGAGTAGATGCGTAAAGAACAATTTTTTTTATTGATTTCACAAGACGATGGGTAAATTGTTCTCTGAGGAGATGATGTGGCAATCAACTCGAGTGATTCTGTCCATTTAACCTGAGATATCTGGATAGTGAATAATAAAATTGACTAGTCATGGCCATTAAACTTTGTTTTCCAGACTTGAAACTACGGGGGCGAAAGGATAACAGCAATGACAGCGAAGATTACGAGGATTCTGGTGCGTCAGCGGCAAAGTGCAGTGCTAGTCTGGCAATTGTAGCAATTGCATCGGTCCTCAGCTTTCATCACCATCTCCAGCTCCAGGCACTTCATCCTGCCTGAGTGGATAAACCAAGTTCATTCCTCGTTCCTTCAGATCCACCGATTGTGCGACTGCCTCCAACGATGTTTATAAAACAAATCAATACTTTTTGAGGGACTGTCTGTCGATTCAATTCCACTCTATTTTCACTGCCAAGTACAAGGGAATTCATTGTGATTCACCCAGAGATATCAACAAACGGCTCATTTCAAAGACACGATAATACATTTCACACATCAACAGTTCACCACACGTACGCCTCACATATTCACAGGTAAATGATAACATCTCCAAATTTCCTCGAATATCTCTTAATCTGAAAGAGATAGCGAATTTTTCGTCATTACTCAATTTCTAGGGCCGAAGAAGAGCCGTAAAAAAGATTTTAATGAAAATTTTGCTATCGCTCTTAGGTGCGGAGATATTCATCGATCAAGTCGAGTTGTTAATCTTTATATTTTGAATAATTCATTGATAATTGATAATGACAATTAATTCAGAAAGACACCAATAATTTTGAGACCTCGGGACAGTTTCCCCTTGGGAAATCTGTCCACTACATTGAATAATTCCTTGTAGAAATATAACGGGTTAATTGTTGACACATTTCTTTCAAAAGTGAATAGACTTTATTTGTGAGATGAGGAATACTGGGAAAATAACAGGGAGTTGAGTGGAAATTATAATTTCCGAGTAATATCGTTTTATGAAAGCTTTAAGATGTGCTACGATACTCGAAACGTGTAAATAAGACATACGTCAAATTCAGTGCGCGCAAAAATGTGAAATTCTATATAAAAATTTAGGGGAAAGGGGGAAATTCGAGTTGAGACATTTGCACGAGTTTTTCCAATGGGATGAATATTAATTGGTGCCTTAAATCTGTTGAATTTCATCTTTAAATCGATTCTCAATACTTCAATAATAATTCACGAGAAATTAAATCCCTCGAGCCATGCCATAAACAGCCGTCTAGATCGCAGTTAATTATTGATTCGTAAAAACCCTGAAAAATACTGATTCTTGTAGTAGAAAAGAGCATCTTTCGATTTTCGAAGTCTAATACCTCCGGGCTATAAGATGTGAACAATCTATTGAATCATCCGAATACTAATTGAATTTTCAGCGAAATAAAGCCGAAAAATAAATTTCCATCGTATTCAAATTTTTTATGGAAAAATTTTTGAATCATTGGGAAATAATCTACGATAGACTGCACTCGTTTCCTGCGACATGTAAATAATATTTTGGTAAAAAATAATTTTCCTCTCAGTGTAAAATAGTTTCCAGTCTATTAAATTGCTCGATATCACGCTAAACTCGTAGATTTTTGCCACTTCTCGTGGGCTGAGTTGAGCCCCAACGAAATTAAATAACTACTCAGAAAAAAACCGTGCAAATGGCCTCTGAATAATTAATTAATGTACAGTAGAAGTATATGAGAAACGAAACAAATTTAGGTGTCGTCTGTGTGCGAGTGAATCGATGTCGCAAAATACCTCTTATTTTATAACAATATAGACGATAAATTAATGGGCTCAGATGGTTCAATGGATTTATTTTAATAGCACAGTTAAACTGACCGACTTGAGAATGAATTTGCCATGGAGTACCACTAGACAAATCGATGAATAAAGCGATCGGTCATGCGTAAATTATCGAAAATTGTAGGACGAGGGGAGAGCAATGAATTTTGAGGGGTTGAACAGATTAAGATCCTTGACTAGGCGTGTCTCAGGGGTATTTTACTGCATCTGCTTGATACAACAAAAGATGGAAGATAGAAAAAAATTCAATTGTCCTCAACTCCCTGACAAATTTGGGATGGTAATGATTCTCAATGGTTAGTGTATTTATTTTTTAATCCCCTTGTGTCGAGTCATTCAGTGCGATGAGTGGATGGATGGGAGCAAATGCGCTTTGTAAAAATGTAGATTCGAGGGTACATTCCACGATAAAAGTCGTCACTTTTGCTTGACATATTTTCCCCTTTTTTTCATTTCGTATCCGAGTGATTAATATTATGGTTAATTATCTATTTATTTCGATAACTCGCGACGACAGGAGAAAGTGTCAAAGGAATTTTTTATTTTACGAAAATTGGGGGACAATGAGCCCATGAATGTGATGCTGATTGTAGGAACCATTTTAATGTGCTACTACGCTTTTTTTTAGATATCATTTATCTAATGTTTAGAAAAGCCCATTAATTTTCAATGTGTAGAGACACGGGGGCTTTCCTCGTTTTATTTACCGACACAACCAAAACGATCACGAAATTTATTGAATTTCCCTGAGAAATTATAGTGAGGGTTGCTCGGTCGGTATATATCGGTTGTGGGTAAACTCAAAGACGTATGACCACGATTTTGCTTATGTGCGAGAGATTATTGATAATTGTATGATTAAAATTCATACGGATACACTATTATATTTGTACAACAGGCAGACGGTAAGTTGTAAATAAAAATATGTATATTGGAACCAAAATTCATTATTTTTTCTTCATTCACCTGAGGTAAACAGAATAATGAATTCAATTTTTTTTAATCGAAGAGGTGGTTGTGGATATTTTCATGGAATACCTCTGAATCTGAGGCAGATAGTGAAATTTTTCTGAGGAACTCTTTTGCAATTTGACGTGAGACCTACTTAAAAGGTCTTGAGAAAAAATTTGCTATTGCCCTCAGATGCAGAGATATTATTCATAATCTGGAGGGGAAATATATTATGTTTTTTCATGATCAAATCACTTGTTGTGCAAACAATTAAACATTCTCATTGTTGACACGTTATTTGCTGATGATTAATTGATATATTGTGTGTAAATGCCTGAAATGATTCTGTGAGGGAATTTGAGTGATTAAAAACAAGTTCAAAAAATAAAGACAATATATCTGCCTGCTAATTGCTTCGAAATGAATTTAAAAGCCCAACAACAAAAAATGATAATTGAATTGTTCGAAGAAAATTGAATGAAAATCATTTGGGAAGAGCGTGGACATGGTTTCGTACATAAAGTCTTATTATTTATACATTACAATAAATAAACATGTATTTATAATTTTTTTATATGTACAACACACATCGTCGATCTTTAAAGTAGTTCACAAGTTGTCCTTATTTTAATTTGCATTTCTCTCAAATTAAAAACGCTGGTATTTATTGAGTCTAGTGAATTCCTCTACAATCTTGCTACATAAATGTTGCTAATTAATTCTAATTCTTCTCCATTATTGGCCGCAACAGAAAGATGAATTGATATTTATTGAAACAAAATGTAATAATTATTTTCGAACTAACTCGTTGATGTTTTTGATTGAGGGGAAAATTCACTGACTTTTCGTGACAAATAAAATCAATTACTCAATGAACTCCACTTCAGGAATTTTAATTAATTGTACAAAGTGAGTGCAGTTGTTTTAGCCAAATATTTACACGGCTTTTTTCGTCACTTTGTGCGAACATTGAAAGCCAATTTGATTAATTTAATTAATCATTTGAGTGATGAAACAAGTTTGGTGTTTTTTTTTCAGTTTATCGTTAAAATTCGAAGCCTTAAATCTCGAATAACTAAAAGTATCAACACAATTATTCAATTATCATTGATTGATCTCATAATATTATTTCCATTTAATTATTTACAGAATCGACACACTCATTGCTCCAACTAATGACAGGCAAGTGATTAGAACGTACGATTAATATTTACAGTTTATTCACGTGGGAGTGTGAAGGTTGCCATAAACATCATTAATGGTTATTAATTATTTTACCGATGATTTCCGTATTTACAAATTGATTTATCAATTGGAGTATAATTAATTCTCCAATTTGATTTTTTATAATATTTACAGAGGATTGTTAGCACATTGATTGAGAGGAATGTACAAACTACTTTCGTTTTTTTATTGCAACAAATATTTTTTTTTTATTTATCGAGATTTTTTCAATTTTGTCGTTCATCTCGTTCGTCTCAAAAAATTTTAATTATCCATTTATATCAAACATCAGAGAAATCACAAGAGAATCATAAAATTTGGAAAATTAACATCATGAATAATCAACATTGAAAAATTAACAAAACAATCATAATTCTTATAAAATCTGAAAAATTGTCAACGCATTATCGTGCAAGTAATGGACTTTCAATTTTTTATTCTTAATTCATGAGTTGTTCTCACAATTCGTAATTATTGTTCCCCGATTCAACTCTGATATTAATTCAAGCGTGCAGAAATAAATTGACATTTTGAGATTTTCTTTCGATAAAAACCCAATCGAAACGTTTTCACAGGCGAAAAAAAATGTCAAGACTTTATTTCTACATTTCTCATAACTCCTGAACGAATCTAAATAATTTTCATTTCTATTTCCATACCAGTAATCACCATAACATTGCTATAAATATTATAACGAATACAAGAACATTCGAAGACATGAATGACAAAATTGCGGAATTTCTCGATGACATTGATTGCGCTGTTTTATCGGGCTGTATTCCCGCGTCATTTATTTTCCTTCCTGTCTTTGCATTCGTATTAGGCCCCTCCACCAATTGCGCACCTGAAGACAATTAATCATAATTAAATCCAATGGATAAAAAAAAGGGGGAAAAAAATATAGCTCTGTAAATCACGTCCTCTACTCTGCGAACAAAAGTTTTAGGAATACATCCGAAATTTAGTTCCACAAAGTTTGTGCACAGCGAATTTAGATTTTCCGGTGGTACTCACTTCTATTACAAGCTTTCATCTCTAGATTATAATTAAACGCGCTGCTCGCGAATAATTGAATATTTAATTTCAATAATTTATAACTTCATCAATTAACAATTTCCGCATGTAATTGAGAAGTTGAATGAATCATAATCGAAATATTAACAATTAAAATTATCTCTATCTCTACTATTGTAATAATTTACCTCGTTTTTCATTGGCTACAGATTTGGATGTATCGATGATCTCATTAAAATTCGTGGCGATCGTCGGAGGCGGTTTTGGTCGAGCCTTTGTTTTATTATCCACTGCGTAAAGAAGTATTATTGATTACGATTGAATTATAATTTAATAATTTATTCACCTGTTACGGTAGATAGAGGTGTTGTGGTAGTCGTTGTGGTGGTCGGTGTAGTGGTTGGTCGATCGATCCCTTACAATTCAAATAATTTAAATAATTACAGGGCTATCTATAATTGAAGGAACAAAGACAGGAATTTAATGTATTTCTCGAGAGAATTTCTCTAACTAATCTTCAAAATAGTCTATCCCTCAACATCAAACAGTTAATAGCGAATTTACGTCGGGACTCGCCTCAATTCATCGGTTTTGTGAAACTTCAGGAAAAGTGAGTGCAGGACGCGGTGAATTCGATAGACAACTGAAACTTGTTACTCGTCTGTTTGACAACGCAAAATTCAGAGTGAGAAATTGTGTTGCTTGAAATCCCATTCCATCCGAAGGCCAAGAACTTGTCTTGTTAAAGTTCTATATCGGGAATGGACTAAATAGCGAATTATTCAGAAGATAGTGGCGTCGATGGGAAAAAAACTTGGGAGAACATTCAGCAAGAAAGACAGGACTGTGCAAACGGTTTAAGCCGATTTTAATTAGTGCACAAAAAGTGGAGAAAAAAAGGCCTAATTACATCTACCAAATTCTAATTGTCGGAATTCCCACGAAAAAGTTTATACTAGCGAATTAATTCGCCATCAATTTCACGATTTCTTCTTATTTTGTGCAAAAATTGCAACTTAAAAAAATATCAAAGAACGTTCATGAAAAAATTCATTCTTACGACGAAACATTTATTTTTTTTTCGTACCGAATAAATGGAAATATGAGGAGACATAAAGAGGATATGACACAGTGTATCGGTGGTAAAAGACAAACGAGACAGGAATATTTGCGTCGTAACAGCTGAGTACAACCATTACGGTACGAACCAGCTGTTGCTACCTCAGAATTAGTCGGAGGCACTAAACTTTGAGAAATTAGTGAGGATTTATGCGACGAGATGACAACCGTGAATCTTCAGCGATGAATTTCTCCAGGATCAATGTACAATGCATTCATGCTCCAAGGAAAAACCTGGCCCATTTACTGGCGTATGTGCAATGTAGGAGTTGTTTTTATTATTCTTCTGTTCCATGAGCTTTTATTTTCATATATCCCGGAATTGTTGTGCATCGGTGTTATTGTTCCTGAAGAAGAAATGACGAACCCAGCACTCACCTCCCACACCTCAGAGGACATTATTTTTTATATCTCCATTGACACCGGGCGAGTGGAAACGAATGGATTTTATTTCGAGAAATTTCATTACGTCCTCTCGATGGAATGAAAGAAATTTATCAAAGGGAAAATTCAATCGCTGGAAATATCATTCACCAGTGGAGAGCTGGAAGATAACAATTTGATTCGGCTGAAGATCTCTAGACCTAAGAGAGATATCGAAATTTAGATGAAAATATTTTCTGCAGCTCTCGATCTTCTTTAGAGAAGACGATTTCCTGTGAAAAATTTATCTGGCTGCCTTCGACTCGGATACATATACACGATGGGATCAACTTCTCCTAATTGCAGTCATTATGCATTTACATAATTACTCACTGTATAATTTGATACTTCCGTCTGTGGTGCCGAGTGAATTCTTGGATATACATTTGTAAAAGCCGTAGTCATCCGGTGCAATTTCTTTAATGGTAAGATTCATGTGCACTTTGTATGCATCAACGTGGAGATTATCTGATATGGAGACATCGTATTTTTCCCCTGAAAGCACAAATGCGTTATAAAATTTGATGGAAAATTCACTCAGCTAAAATTTACGGCAAAATCATTCTTTTACGGTACGCAGAGAGTACGAAAAATCGTCAAATGCTGGAAAACCATCGAGGGGATGAGGAGTAGAGGAGAAATATGGACTGGATGGGAAACACGAGAGAAATTCTTCCACTGAATCACGCTCGTATCGAGTAGAGTATATCGAGTTTTTACTCTTCAACAACGGAGAAAGAATTTCAGGGCAGTGAAAAAAGTATGCCTGGAACAAGTACGTGGATGAAATACACAAGTGGTTATTCGTAACTGTGTTATTACTGAAAACGTTTAGAACGTGGTTTTTTACCCCTTGAGTGATATAAAACTCCATCGATCTCGCGTTATCGCGTGTTTCTTCTCAGCTGCCAATCCCCGAGGAAAATGGAACGAAAAATAAAGGTAAATAAAATTCTTCAACAAAAATCCATTGACTCACATAAATATCTTTAATTCTCCTAAAGAAAATTATTTATCATTAAAAATGTAATTACATATTTTTAATGACATGTAATATTTATTTGGTGATTGTGATTTTTGCATTGCGCTGAGTGCGGAAAATGGCAGAGAAAGATTCCGCTGGTGCAGGACAGAAGTTTCCGAGGGTGAATGCATTTATGCAGTACGGCAATGGTTTTGCCGATTCACTGGTATAACTATCGAGCGTGAACTCCGCAAAATGAATGAAAAACTTTCATCGGCTTAAAGTTTGAGAAGGAGATGAAAAAGTTTAACGACGTTGAACTACGATCTGAGCACAGGAGTTGCTGTACTACCTCCGAGTATTTCTCCAACCCCTTCCCCGGAGTACCAGAAAAAAACGGAATGGCTTGAGGTGAGAAGTCTTTGACTTAAAATTATACAGATATTTTCCCAGTGCTTAATTCATTTTTATTCCTTCTTCTTCATAACATATTTTTACTAGTCGGAGTTGAATATGCGAGAGATGCAATAGAATTTTTTTATTAACTTTTTGCTGAGTCTCATTTTTCGTTTCGGATTTTATATTTGAAAGAAATATTTTTTTTTACCCTCGCGCAGAAAAAATCACGCAATATTAATCAGCTCGCTATTTCAACCAGACTCAATTTCCCATTACGCTAAAAAAAATTACATAATACCGTGAAAGGAGAACTTGCGACATTAAAAAGCCGGAGACTTCAGTCGCGAGTATTTTCGCGGAAAAACTTGACCCGTTATTCTTGGGATACTCTCATCTACCCGTGACACTATCTACCCCCGGCAAAGTCCCTCCATTTACCTCATTTTTATGTATTATTTTGTCCTTATTTTCTCCACCCTCGCCCCTCGTACCGCGGCCTTTCCTTTTTTCATTTCAAATATTGTACCTCTCCCTCAAACGAAATTAACGCTTCGCTCCATATTATTTCCGCCCTTGTGCCTCCACGAGACGCATAATCTAAACTCTGTTTTTATGTTGGAATTATGCGCTTGGTAAATTGAGGCATAATGAAGTAGAAGGAATAATAATGAGTCAACTTGGAGTTGGTTTATCGGATTAATTACACGAGCTGTAAAATTAATTTATTTTTACAGCAAAACGAGTGCTCTGGGATTTTGGGGATCGCCTTGATACAGCGGTGATTAACTGGAGCTGTGGAAAATCTGTGCAATCCACATGAACAATTAGGCCTTGTTCAGCCGGAAATCGTTGTACGGGTGCAGATTAATAAATCACGGCTGTCGTTAATACCTACGACTTGTTTAGCAGTCGGGGGTGGATAACATCCGGAGTAAACCACCCCTCGGCCATGTTACCATCCCCTCTCTCTCTGCGGATGCAACAAGAACAACCCGCAGTCGCGTATTATGCAGATGCTGATACGCTTCGTTAATTAGACGGACTCTGACAACTCTCACTGGAGCTCAATGCCTCCACCTGAACGAATTCTCGGGAAAGACCAAGTCCAACCCTTTCAGGAGGGGTTAAACAAGTGCAACGAAATGGGTTACCGATGTATTGTTATACTTATCTATGTATATAAACATATTGTGTCCAATTAAATGTATTGTATATAAAAATAAATAAATAAACATATTATAAACTCATTCACACGCATACACAAACTCATTTATACAACCACCCACGCCACCCACGCACCGGAACGTCCACCAGATCCATCCACCCACGCACCGGCACGTCCACCAGATCCACCCACGCACCGGAACGTCCACCAGATCCATCCACCCACGCACCGGAACGTCCACCAGATCC